GAAGGGAAGGCACAGGGATGTTAATGGTGCGTCCAGACTCATTCAGAAAAGGGTGATAAGACAGGAATGGACTTCTGCGTGGTGACTTAGGCCAGTGAGGCAACCGTTAGACAAAGTTGCCTTCCAGGTGGGTTAACGTTTGCAAAATACTTTAATATTTTAAAGCACAGTATTACTTTTGGGAGGCAAAACATGAAGCGCTGTGGGTGACACTGCGAGAATTTTTTTTTCCCCTTTTTAATTATCTTCCACAATCTGGAGACTCCACAGATCCCCATTAACTGTCTCTGGCTGCCCTACATATCTTACGCAGGCCGTATCGGAGCGATCATTAATTAATCCCAGGGAGAAGCAGTCATCTGTGCTACTGAACCAGATCTTCATATTCCAACCTGTCTGCCATCCCGACTGAGCCTCAGGCCACCAAGGAAAATCCAGTCGGCCTCTTTGCTCATATGACTTGCTTGATTTCAGTGTTCTTCCCGGAGACCACTGTCAAATTATTTTTCTTCCCTATCAGGATAAATGACTTGTTTTTTGGAATTTCTCAGTAGCCATAGAAATGCCGTAAATAAGGGGCTGAATGCATGACTTAAGGTTCTGTGAGTGATGGGTGGGAGGAGAAAGGGGAAGGGCATAAAGACTGGAGAGTAAGGAGGCAAGAAAAGGAGACATCTATTCCTTGACATTCAGTGGAGGGCAGCCCCTTCTGGTACAAAATCTACCCACAAAGAACAAAGCCAAGATAACCAATGCTCGCAGATATTTTCAGTAAAGCAATGGCTTCTATTCACTGTTGTGTGGGTTGCCTTTGAACCAAGGATTCAAAGTGTACCTTTGTGTGAATCGATTTTACTCCAGGGGTTGAAATTCAAAATTATTTAAGCTGAAAAGAAGAAAATCTTATTAACTGAAATCAATTTTAATCTTCTCCTCCACTTGTACTTTCTTATTCACAAAGGAATGTTCATTTTCATTTATTGTTAGCATTAAAACATGTTGGTCTGTCACTACATGCAGCCATAGTGGTAAATTCAGTAAGCAGAAGGCTCTTCTTACATATTTATGTTATTCTATAAACTTTATGTTCAGATTCTTAATTTTTATGTGTTAGGAAATAGTGTCTGATTAGACAGCTGATTTTTTTTTTTTTTTCCGTATGTGTCAGCTTGCATTTGGAAGAAAATAAATCTGCATTTAAAGCCTCAGAGTCTTCATTTTCATTTTTTGAAGTTAAAAACCATCTGAATTTTTTTTTTCTTGGTATATCTATCACGTAAAACATTAACCATTCAAAAATCAAAATGACACGTTTAGGAAAAAGAATTCATCAGTAGTTTTTTCCCAGTTGTTAGCTCCTTCAGAGTTGTGGGATTAGCACATGTCGTTTTTCAACATCTACTTTTTTATTTATAGAATGAAGAGGAAAAACTAGATTTCCTGGTTTTACAGCTCCCAGATTGTGTCTTGGCTTTGAATGAACTAGTTCAATTTGTTGAAATGAATAGGAAACTCTGCATTTTCAGAAAAGGCTACTTTTGTCAAAAGCTGATTTTGTGCTTTGCCAGCCTATGGCTCTGCTATTCAGCTGCTGACATCTGCCAGTCCAGTTCACTGCCATGCTTTAAAAATCCTGGCAGCCGTATGTACTGCCTTAATAACTCCTCATAGCCTGCTGTCCTTCAGGGGGTCTGTGCCCTCCCATAGCTTGTAATCCATGTTGGCAAGGGGGAAGGTCTCAGAATTGTTAAATACCAACCTGGTGTGAAAACAGATGGCTCCAAACAGGAGAGAAACCTCTATGAGATCCAAACCCCAGGAGAAATATCCCTGGGGACAGCAGTCTAACAAGGAGGTGAGAGCAGAGGAGATTGAGTGAAAAGCATCTCAGTGCCAGAAATAAAACTTTAAGGTCAAAGACAATTTCTTATAGAGGGTTCTGCTAGTTAGCCTTCAAAAAAAATCAGACTTGCGCTCCAGCAGCCTCTGCTTTCCCAGAACCCTACCCTTATGGATGTTCCAGGTTCATATGTTTCTTCTCCTGGGATATCAAATTGCATGAATTGTAACAAAAATGTCTTCCCCCCCATACCTATTTCATGAAATAACT